TCACCCAGCTGGCTGCATGTGGAGAACTGGGGAATCAAACCCGGTTCTCCAGATTAGAGTCCGCGCTCCTAACCACTACACCAAACTGGCTCTTAACACATGGTATTCACGCCCCCTCTTGGATAGACCAACACTTGATGCAGCTAGTGCTGATCTAGAGAGGCTTTTAAAAGAGGAAAATCAGCAGATCTCCAGACAAATAGCAAAATTCTGCTTGCAACTGGTAAAATTTCACAATAAGAAGCAGAGCAAGTACTGGTAGAACCCTCATTTACCTTTGCATGACTCATAAGTACTCTAGTTTTAAACATCTTATAATTATTTTGATATCATGGACTGTTAAACTTTTATCCTTTTCACATTTTAATGTTTTTTAAGGTTATATGTTTATTTTTAGAGCTGAAAGCTAATTTGCTTGTATTTAATGAACATGTAATATTTTGATAAATGGTCTTTGACCGCCAATAAACATCATTCATTCAAGGAATTCACCACCATGGGAAGTAGTGGTGGCTACAAGCACAGACAGCTTCAAGAGGGGATTGGAGAAACATGGAGCAGAATTCCATGAGTGGCTATTAGCCACAAGGTCTAGATGGAACACACTGTCTGGGGCAGTGATGTTCTGTATTCTTGATGCCTGGGAGGCAAGAGTGGGAGGTCTTTTGGAGTTCTGGCCCTGATGGTGGACCTCCTGATGGCACCTGGGTTTTGGCCACTGTGTGACACGGAGTGTTGGACTGGATCAACCACTGGCCTGATCCGACATGGCTTCTCTTATGTTCTTATGTCTGGGGCAGTCATGTTCTGTATTCTTGGTGCTTGTTGGGCCACAGTGGGACGGCTTCTGGAGTTCTGGCCCTGCTGGTGGACCTCCTAATGGCACCTGTGTTTCGGCCACTGTGTGACACAGAGTACTGGACAGGATGGGCCATTGGCCTGATCCAACATGGCTTCTCATACATTATTCTGTCTGGGGCAGTCATATTCTTGGTCCGGGGGGGGGGGCAACAGTTGGAGGGCTTCTGGAGTTCTGACCCTGCTGGTGGACCTCCTAATGGCACCTGGGTTTCGGCCACTGTGTGACACAGACTCTTGGACCAGAAGGGCTATTGGCCTGATCCAGCTGAGCTTCTCATATTTTCTTATGCGATAGATTTATGAAAACAAATGGATATGTAAAGATTTTAAAGATTTGCTGAGCCACCGATGACATTTTAGCCGTGTCCAGTGTCAGACACCCGTCTTGCTTGACTGTCGTTTTTTTTCTCTCCAGCAAGAAAGGCTTCAGTTGCACCCGGTCTTGCTTGACTGTCGTTTTTTTCTCTCCAGCAAGAAAGGCTTCAGTTGGACCGGCTGAAGAACCAGCTGTCTGATGCCATTCAGCGATACGGCACAATTCAAAAGGTAAAGGCGGGGATGGGGTCATGGCTTCCTTGTGAGGAGATCAGTTATGGCCCCATCATTCTGAGAATGTGAGATTATGCAACACAATCTTATGGGGGGGATGCTGAGCCTAGGGTTGCCAACTCTGAGTTGGGAAATACCTGGAGATATGGGGAGTGAAGCCTTAAGAGGACAGGGTTTGGGGAGGGGAAGGACTTCAGTGGGGGCCGAGGCCATGGAGTCCACCTTCCAAAATGGCCGTTTTCTCCAGGCGGACTGGTCTCTGTGGCCTGGAGGTCCATTGTAATGGCAGGAGATCTCCAGACACCACCACCAGGAGGTTGGCAACCCTACCTGTCCTGGTTTATTTTCTTTAAATGTGGTCGACTGCTGCACCTGAAGACATAATCTAGCCAAGGACCGACTGGAAAAGGATATCTAATCAAGGACTCACTGCAGCATGCCGTGATTTGAGATGAACTTACGCACTGTGGTTTTCTTTAACCGTGGTTATTCATTTTATCGGCACTGAACAAACCACGGTTAGGACAGTTTCCCTGTTTTCCAGTCTCTCTGCTTGCAAGGTCACAAGTTGGCCATAACAAGAAAGCCATGGTTTCACTGTATGTTTGGAATCTTAACCAGGGTTCTCCTTAATTGTTAAATAAAACAGGAGAGACCTATTGTATCTTAAAGACTAACAAAACCCCAGCATATTATTATTATTATTAT